CACCTACTGACAGCACCCACTCAACCACAGAGCAGAGATAGCCTGTGTAGGAGGCCAAGAAGCCAGAAGGTGAAGGGAATCATTTTAAAGCCTTCCTTAGAAATCCAGGTAGAGAGAGCAGCTGTGTTTGTAGGCCCTCCAAACTCTGTCCAGCCCCACCCAGATGCTCAGAGAGCATGTTTTCTGTGAGCCATACCTCACAGGCCAGCAGACAGCCTTTCTACAGGGCCTCAGGGGCTACCTCGTGATTGGTGATCCTGTGATGTAGTGAGCCGTGCAGGCTGAAGTCTTGTGAACCATCTGCTCCTGGGACATGGCCTCACAGCCTCAGCAGTGGCCCTGCCCCCTCCACTCCCATCCCAGTCCTCCCACAGTCTCCCTGAGGCCATGGAATCACAGACCCCATTTGTCCAAAGCTGCCCCAAGTGTGGCCCACAGTCCTCCTACATCAGAGCCCAGGGGCCTCATTAAAATGCAGGGTCACTGCTCTAGGGAACCTACCGAGGCAGAAATCTGCATTTTATCCAGCTCCCCAGATCACTGTGCATTTATAGAGGAGACCGGGGCTCAGAGAGGGTGAGGTGCCTAAGACTCATCGCTGGTCAGAGCAGTGTAGTAATGAAACCTAGGTTGTGACCCCCCAGTCCAGAGGTCTCACTGCTCCAACCACACAGAGTGGGGAAAGGTGGTGCGGGCCAGGTGCTGGCAAAGACGTGGGAAGATCTATTTACTACCCAGATGTGCTCAGTGGGCAGGATGGAATAGTCACAATGGGTGCTGGGAGGTTCTCCTGGCTCCTTCACCGTGTAGGCTGAACCCAAGCACACTCTGCCACAACTTGGCTCTCTGCCAGCAGGGGCCCTTGCACACATGCTCACCCCTAGGCAAGACCAGGGGCCGAGTGGGGTGGTGTGAGCGCCCTGAAGCCTGGGGAGAGGGTGCTGAAGAGGTTGACAAGGCTCTGCTGAACCTGGTAGGACCAAAGGCCCAGACTCGGGGTCCCTCAGCCCAAGCTGAGGGCCTGAGGAGATTTCCTGGAGGTCAATGGAGCTCTGGGGACCTGGACCAGGACCCACTGGGCACCTAGGCAGCTGCTACATGATGGGTTCTGAGACGTTCCAAGAAGTTCTCTGCAGCTCCTGAAGTGTCCCTCGTTAGGTAACTTTGGCCCTTTCTGGGGTGCCCCTTTTAAAATCATATAATGCCTGGGAAGAGTCGTATTGCACATCGCCAGCTTCTTGGAGAGAACCCAAGAATGGGACCCTTTCCTGCTGGGCTGCCAGGAGGGCTTAGGACCTGAAAGGCAAGGAACCTCAGAGGCTTCCAGGGCTGGGGCTTGGGCTCACTGAGGGCCAGTCTGCCATGCAATTCCACTTCCCCTCCTGTCCCACCAGAGGCCATAGAGATAGGCCCCTGCCTTCCCTTCCTTGTGGGGGTCATCAGCCAGGAGTTTCATGCTTGGGAGCAGGTAGAGAGGCTGCTCTGTGGAGCCCCTAGGAAACCTCCCCACCCCTGGCCCCAGGGCTTGGGTTTGGCTAGACCTGCCCTCCTGATTCCAGATCTCTAGCCCAGGAAGCATACCTGAGAACACTCAGATGGTAACACGGCTCTATGGTCCTCTGTTAGGGACACACTCTCACAGCATAGACACGCAGACTCCCTGCTGTCTGGCACAAGTGGGGTTATCAGAGCCCGTGCTGTGGCTTCCCTGCCCTGTGCTGGGAGCCAGTCACAGCTGCCCTGCCGTCCACACCCCCACCCCACCACCCAGGGCCTCTTCCACCCACATGGCCCCTTGGGTGGGAGCGCCCTGGGAATGAAGAATGCCTCTGACCCAGATTCCCTGCACAGCCCAGCAGCACAGAAGGAAGTCGGCCTCTGGATGGCCTCCCAGGGGTCTGGCTGTCAATTACCCAGGAAGAAATACCCGGCAGAGGACACCCCAGGGACTCTGCTTTCTTCAGCTTCCCAGGAGTGGCAGAATGGATGTAAAGAGCTGCTGTTGGACTGCTCACCTGGGAATGCTGGGGGCTGGGTTGCCAGGCAGAACCAAGCTTTGGCTTCTGCTCCGTTTGAAAATCCTTGCCTGTAGCACCTACCCTATTTGGTCTGACACCCTCTAGACCTGCCCCTATCCAGAGGTCAACCCCTGCTTCTGGAAAGGTCACAGCAAACGCTCCCACAGTCAAACCCCTTTCTGTTTCTTTTTCCCTCCCTGCAGCCCACCTCCTCTTTTCGACCGCTGCAGAAAGAACCCACCCAAAGCCTGGTGGCCAAGGCCCAGTCCTTGCCCTCAGACCAGCCCATGGGGACCTTCAGCCCTCTGACCACCTCGGACACCAGCAGCCCCCAGAAGTCCCTCCGCATAGCCCAAGCTGCCGGCCCACCCCCAGGCCGGTCTTCCCCCGCGGGCTCCCCACGCACCAGGCAAGCCCAGATCAGCACCAGCAACTTGTACCTGCCCCAGGACCCCACGGTGGCCAAGGGTGCCCTGGCTGGCGAGGACACAGGTGTTGTGACACACGAGCAGTTCAAGGCTGCGCTCAGGATGGTGGTGGACCAGGGTGACCCCCGGATGCTGCTGGACAGCTACGTGAAGATCGGCGAGGGCTCCACGGGCATCGTCTGCCTGGCCCGGGAGAAGCATTCAGGCCGCCAGGTGGCCGTCAAGATGATGGACCTCAGGAAGCAGCAGCGCAGGGAGCTGCTCTTTAATGAGGTGGGAGGAGAGGGCAAGATGTGGCGGGGCGCTCGGGATGAACATCTGGGAACGGGGGCAGTGGGGACTGTGCCTGGCACTCAGGCACCCCCACCTGTCCCCCCCAGGTGGTGATCATGCGAGACTACCAGCACCTCAACGTGGTGGAGATGTACAAGAGCTACCTGGTGGGCGAGGAGCTGTGGGTGCTTATGGAGTTCCTGCAGGGCGGGGCCCTCACGGACATCGTCTCCCAAGTCAGGTGGGCAGCTGCGAGGGCTGGGCAGTGGGAGGGCCGGCTGCCCCCCACTGTCTTGGAAGGAGTATTGTGCAGCCTCAGGCCAAGGACACTGGGGTGCCTGTCACGTCATTGTGAGCACCTCCCGTCTGTTGGGGTTAACAGACTCATGGCGTTCAGGAGAGTGGGTTGGGGAACACTAGAATGTCTCCAGCCTAAGTCCAGGCCCATTTCTACCAGGGCCCTGGCCTGACTGGACCCCCACACATATTGCCTAGGAGCTGTGGGGCCCGGTACCAGGGGCACCTAATCTGGCAGCCAGCTGCCCTGCAGCCCCGCCAAAGCTAACATTCTCTTCTGCCTGTGGCCTTCCCTGTCCAGGCTGAACGAGGAGCAGATCGCCACTGTGTGTGAGGCCGTGCTGCAGGCCCTGGCTTACCTGCATGCCCAAGGTGTCATCCACCGGGACATCAAGAGTGACTCCATCCTCCTGACCCTGGATGGCAGGGTAGGCCCCTCCCCTCCCTGGTACACCCGCGTCCCACCCCCTGCTTCCATATTCCCAGCTCGGCTCCGGCTCCACCACTCACTCCCATTTTTCCCTCTCACCTCAACCGCAGGTGAAACTCTCTGACTTCGGATTCTGTGCTCAGATCAGCAAAGACGTCCCTAAGAGGAAGTCCCTGGTAGGCACCCCTTACTGGATGGCTCCTGAAGTGATCTCCAGGTCTCTGTACGCGACTGAGGTAACTGGTCCTTCCATCCCCCAGTCCTCCCAGAAGCAGCTTGGGAACAAATAGCTCTTGTGGCCCTTGCAAAGACCCGCCCCCGCTCCCCAAAATAGCCCTAGTTTTCAGATTCCTCCTTAGTCAGTACCCTACCCCACTGCCCATCACACCCTGCCCACTCTTAGATGGGTCTGCTCTCACTTGTGACTTTGCATCTCGAAAATGCTCCTACGGCAGCTCAAGGGCAAGGTGGGGTATGGCCGGGCTTCCTCATGTGTGATGGCCATTCTCAGAGAATGGCTGACAGCTATGTCCCTGCAGTCAGTGGGCACTCATGCAGAAAGGAACCGACCACGAGGCAGGTGGCCAGGAAGGAGGCCAGCTCACCGATGAAAGCTGGGGCCAGCTGCTCCCATCCCCCCGCGGTACACTGCTACTGAAGGGTCAGCTCTGGTCAGTGGAATCAGGGACATTCTCTTCCTGCAGGTGGATATCTGGTCTCTGGGCATCATGGTGATTGAGATGGTGGACGGGGAGCCACCCTACTTCAGCGACTCCCCAGTGCAAGCCATGAAGAGGCTCCGGGACAGCCCCCCACCCAGGCTGAAAAACTCTCACAAGGTCAGTCAGTGCACAGGGTGTGCCCTTGCTGACCCCATTCTTCCTGAGGCTTGGAGGACCAGAGCCTGGGCTCCCAGGCCCAGCTTCTCCCTTCCACAGAAGCCAGAGGCTCCCAGAAAAGGCTCTTCTTTCTCCGCACAAAACCTGCACCTGGGTGTGGAGCCACATCTGTACACAAACCTCTGTGGTCACTCAGACAAGTTTCTGCCTGCAGGCAAATGACAAGAGCCTGAGAAAATGGAAAGCAAGCCTTCCAGGAATCTAGAGAAGCTAGTTGAGCAGGAACCCCTCTACCCCATCTGGCAGGGGAGCCATACCAAGGCACAGTGTTCCGAGTCTGTCATAGCAAATTGCCTTGTCCTTCATTGGTGCACATCCTGACCACGTCTGAACCACAGGTTTTCCCTTAAAGGGGGTGCGTGTGTGTGTAACCCTTTTCTGTCAAATCCACCCAAACTCACAGGCCTTTACCAGTGGACACTCCTTGCTGGTGGGCAGGTCAGTACAGGGCGGCAAAATGGCACTGCCATCTCGTGGCCAGATCGAGAAATGTCCCAGAGGGGTGAAGCCCAGTCCCCGAATAATAGTTCTGTGGCCCCACCACAGCTGGATGGGAGAACAGACAGGAAGACACCTTCTGAGACAACTGGTCCTTGGAGCCTGCACCACCAGCCCCAAGATTAACATATGGGGAGATTTCCAATTGGCTAATTCCCTAGAGGAGGTAGCCTTCTGTAACAGCCCAAGATTTAGCTTAATCCCAAGATATTGGCGCAGAATGAACTAAGATAAGCCCCTGACTTAGACTCTAAGGCTTAGAGCAGTAAAGAAATCTCCCTTTTCAGGTCCCACTTTGTTTTTTTTTCTTTTCTTCCAAACACTTCATCCCTGATCTCTTTCTTATCTTCACTAAAGACAGGGCAAGCACATTTTATCATTAGCCCATTGGGCAGATGAGAAAACTGAGGTCTAGAGAAAATTGCAACTTGCCCAAGATCAGGGATAGACCCAGGACTGGATCACTAATATGAATCCCATGCTTCTCCCGCAGAGCCACAGAACCTGAAGGCTGAGAGCTCTGAGAAGCAGGGTGAGGAATGGGCTATATTTGCAGCCCAGCTTCCCAGGACACCAGGCTTCTTAATTCCACTGCTCAGTAGCACCCCCTAGAGGTGATCTAGCCACTTTTCCTGGACCGATGCCAATTTTACCTATCCCATAATCCAGAAAGTACTGAGTCTGGGAGCTACTACCAGGAAGTAAGAAACGAGAGAATTCAAGACTTTCAAATGATGGTGGGGCCAGGCAGACAAGTAACCCCGAAGCCACCCCATGCTGTGGCTTCCTCTCACCGATGCCCTGTCTCCACAGGTCTCCCCAGTGCTTCGAGACTTCCTGGAACGGATGCTGGTGCGGGACCCCCAGGAGAGAGCCACGGCTCAGGAGCTCCTGGACCACCCTTTCCTGCTGCAGACAGGGCTGCCCGAGTGCCTGGTGCCCCTGATCCAGCTCTACCGCAAGCAGACCTCCACCTGCTGAGCCCGGGGACACTGGGCAGCCAGCCTGCCGGCGGGGCCTGCCTGCCTCATTCTCTCAGTATTCTCTCCAAAGATCGAATGTGAAACCCCACCCACACCCTTCTGCCCCTCAGCCCACTGGGCCAGGCCGGACCTGCCCCTCGGTCTCTCTGCCTCCCAAGAGAGTCCCCAGTTGCCTTTGGGATGGTAGAGACCCCCTTCTACAGAATGACCCTCTGTTATTTGCACAGGGATATTTCTAAGAAACGTGGAGACCCGCACTCCTGGCCACGTGGCCAACACAGCAGAAAAAGCTGCTGCGGTTTTTTAAAAGTAGTTGTACATTAGCATCCCAGGTCACCGAGAGGGCAGACTGCCTGTCTTCGCCAGGATACTTGCTGTTCTCAGCTCCAGCTCTAAACCCTGGGGTCTCAAGAGGGCCACAGGGAAGGTTTCTATTGCCTGAAGCCGTCTTCCTCCTTTACGTCTGACTTCCTGAAGGTACGGTCCAACCTGCACCTGTTTCCTGACCCACCTGCACTGACACCACTCTCCCTGCACAGCCTGCTCCAAACTGTGAACAGCCTGCTCTCTGGCCAGGGGTGGAGGAAGGGCATTTGTCTGGGTAAAAGAGAAAGAATGCGGTTGGTGGTAAACATAATCTCACTTTACAGGATGGAGAGAACATTGTGTGTGTGTGTGTGTGTGTGTGTGTGTGTGTGTGTGTGTGTGTAAGTGGAGGACAGTCACCCTGACAGCCTGGCTCCCTTCAGGTCACTCACAGGTCACCTACTTCAGTAAGGCTTCCCATCCTTTCTGCCACTAAATTCTACCAGGAAGGGACTGCTTTCTTGGCCTGGTTTCCCACCTCCTAAGTCCTGTGTTTCTACCTGAACAGTGAAGAGAGCTGACACATCCCAGGGGCTTCACAGATTTCCAGGTGTCTCCTGTACTGTGGAGTCTGAGAGCCAGAGATGGGAATGGTAAAGGAACAAACTTTGTTTTGCCTGTGAGCTTTCTCTCAATAACCAGGTCATCAAGGACCCATTATTTTCAAAAATCTTGGTCTGAGGGAGATGAACCCCCCCCCCTGGGGCTCCATCCTGTCAAGAAAATGGACACCCCCTTTGTGCAAACCATCTGCCCTAGCTGCCTCTTCAGACACCTGTCTCTTTGTCCCCCTTCCCTCCCCACCTTCAGGGATGTTGTGAGTCAGGGAATCCAGGGAAGAACTCCAGGTGTCAGGACCCTATCTAGATAATATTTTTAGATTCCTCTGCTCCCTAGTGGCCTGCTTTGGGCCCCCCCCCCAAAAAAGAAACTTGCAAGGACTTTTTTAAGGGTCAGAGTTTTAAAAACAAAAGCATCTTCCCTAGAAACTTTTGTGAATTGTTTGCACTTGTGCCTGTTTTAAATTAAACTGAGTGTTCAAAACCTCTGGGCTGTTGTCTCTGACAATGGAGCCAGGCTATGTTCAAGCTGGACACTTCAAGCAGCTGTCTGGTGTGCCCCCCTCCCATATGAGCTCCCCAGCGGTCACTGAGTCCACAAAAAACCCAACTCCCTCGTGGCATGTGGGCCCATGAGGGCGGATAAGAAGGGAAACGGAAAGCGAAAGTCCCTTGGGACTGAAAGAACTGAGAAACGGACAGAGCTGTCCTTCCCAGGGGAGAAGAACCCAGCCAGGAAAACCAGGGCCATGCACTCTGCTTGCTGGTACCACAGGGGCTCTGCGGGCAGCCACTGGAGCTGATGGCCACTTTCTGCACCGGCGTCTCCCTTCTCCCTTTTGCTTCCCACTCCAAGGAAAGTCAGAGGCTGCTTTCCTCCAGCTGTCCTTAGAAAGTGGCCTGGAACTGCTTCCAGGGAGAAAGCAGTCTGTGTTTCTGTTCTCAGAACTGAGGGGTTGTGGAGCAGCAGTGCAGTGACTGGAAATCAATACACCTTGGTCCTAGTCCCGCAGGTAGGGGAGGTAGATGGCATGATCTTTAAGCTTCTAGCTCTGACACTGATTCCAGCACTTCCTTCCTGAGAGTTCATCCTACCCCCAGCCCCAGGGTTCACTGAAACCTCTTACCCAGCATCCAGGAGTCACACAGACCCTCTCCTGCTCCCCACACCAGCCCCAGCCGGAGAGCTGCCCTGGTCTCGGGGTCCTGGTCCCACCAGCTCAGTTGGAAGCAGTACCTGAGTCCTTCCTTCAGGAGGCGGCCACAGTGCACGGTGGAACAGGCAGGGATGGAGGCTGACAGAAGGCAGAACCTTCACAGGAAGCAAGCACACCCTCTTGTCACTCCATAGGGAGCCCAGAATCAGGAGCAGTTGGCGAGGCAAAGAGAGGCCAGTTCTTGCAACTGAATAATACTGGATTTATTAACTATTCTTCTGAGTTCTAATAGTCCTTCCACCGCCCAGTGTCATTCCAAAAGCGTGTGCGGACGTCATTTGGCCTCCCATGCAGCCTAGTTCTGAGTTTGATGTTAGGGTACTGAGCTCCAGTGGCCTGTGTGATTCTTCACAACGATGAAAGCAACAAGGATTGGAAAAGAAAACTGTTTAGAAAGGTCTCTTCTAAAGTGAGCGAGCTAGAGAGGACCCCAGCCTCAATGCCTGGGGGCTGACAATGAGAAGGAAGTGCAGGAGAGCAAAATGTGCTGAGATGTAGAAGTTTTGCACAGAGCTGGGACTAGTAAGTAATCTGCAAGAACAGAAAGTCAGTCACACACAGTTCATTGCAGACAGGAAAGATCTGCTGTGGTCTTTTAGAAACAATACTTTCAACCACCAAGCCCTTGGCACCTCCGTGGAGAGGAGCCCTCATGACTGTTTACTCAATAAGGAAGGCCCAGGGTGACATTCAACCAGAAAGCCACAGGTCAGCAACATTTGAAAGATGACAGCACCATCAACCTAATGTTCACCCCAGACCTTACAGTGTTTTGAAGAAGTCAAAATACTTGTATTCTTACACCATTAAAAACACCGTGGAAATTAAACACAGTCAGAAAGGGAATAAGTGAACAAGCAGGGATAGGCCGGAGTGGGGGGCGGGGGGGGGGGCAAGAGTTTGTGCTTGGGATGTCCAGTTATCCCCCATCCCACCCCAGATCCTCTCCACCTGGCTTTTCAGGTGCTTCTGTATCCTTCACCCACCACCCAGACAGTGGGACTAAGGAGAGGCAGATGTCTGGGGAGAAAGGAATGAGGGGAGGGCAATACACACCCAAAACGAAAGCAAATCTCATCAGAAGAAAACAATGGAGGTCCTAAGGTTCAGAAATTATAAAGAAGGGGTTGGAAGCCCCTGTTTTTCAGAAGAGAGCAGGAACTCTCTGGACTTGGGAGCCTTAATTTGGAAGATCTTGGAGTCCTTAGTGAAGAAGGGTCTGGGCTCCTGCTACTCCAAATCCGGGTTTTTTGTTTACTGTCCCTCACTCCACTGCTGGGAAATGGCTTCAAGTATCCGGATTTAATATACTACAAGAGTAAGGGGAGTCCATGGGTAAATGCACACGGAGGGAGAAGTACATTGCCGTGATCCCAAGTGAAACCAGAAAAAGTCTCAACTCCGAGCCAGGGCGCCGCGAGGTAGGCGCAGCGCTAGCCACCAGGGGGCACCAGAGATCACGTCCAGTGCGGGGTGGAGTGGGGTGGCTGCACTTTTGAGGGGCAGAAGGATTGGGAAGGTGTCTGACATCTATACAACGCCCACTCACCCCATCCCCATCCGCACCCCTCCCCCCGACCCAACTTCTCAGCAGAGATCATTCTCTCTGGGCAGTCCCCTTAGAGTTATGGTGAGAAACCTTTCGTTCTGCAAAGGCGTTTTAGATCGACGCCTTGAAAAGCCCCCACCTCAGACGGGTGAGGCGCTGCACGCTCAACCTTCGGGGTTCACAAAAAAAGCCCCCAAGCGCAGCCATCTCGCGGGCTGGGCGCACAGGTGCACGCGTTCACCCGACCTCCTAGAATCCCCCTCTTAGGCCAACACAAAGAGGAGGCAGGGGAGGTGGGAGAGGAAGGACCACGCCGGAAAAGGGCTTTTAACCACCTCTCCACGGTTGCCTCTGACTCACTAATCTGCCCAGTAATGAAGCTTTGCCCGGCCTGCGTCCCACGCGCTGGGGCAGAGGCAGGGGTCCTTGGTCTCGACCTCCAGCATCTACCATCCGCCCTGCCCTCCATTAACAGCCCAGCGAGAAGCAGGAGCCCTTTAACAGCCCCCTTCCAGCTCTCGCCAGAGTTTGATGTAATTTAAACCCGGACCTGCGGCTCGTGTGGGCTTCCCGACTCCCTCGCGCCGCCGTTCAACGTGGCAAACACTTCAGTCAATTATCCCCCTCGCAGAGCTTCTATTTAAAGAGACATTGTCAGGTTCTTAAGCCTCGGATCAGACCCGCTGCTTTCTGCTTCATATACAAAGACTCAAAACACGAGTTCTTTGAGGATTGGAAGAAATACAATTAAGCCAAGCCTTCGCAACCGTTCCACCCTGCGGGAGCACCCACATGGCACCCACATGCGGGACCCGGGGAGCTGGGAGGTGGTGGGGGCGGGGAAGTGCCAAGTCCTTTCATTTCAGGCCTCTAACAGTTAGCAGAAGTAAGGCTGGATCACGAGGGACACGACCTCAAAGATAAAACTCAAATGCCCCCGAGCTGAAGTACAGGCTGGCTCAGGTGCTGGGAGCTGGGCTGGGTAGGGGTTGGTGTGGGGCAATGACCCCCCCCCCCATCATCAATTAAGTTGAATCCTGGGTCGGCCAGAGGCACAGGGAGCTGGAATCACCCAGGAGCTGTTTCAGGAGACAACCAGCATTCAACACCAAGGCCTCTGCCACCCCCAAATATGCTCTCATTGTCTCGAGGCAGAAGTTTCTCCCCAGAAAACAACCTTCAGGACTCAATCAGCCTCCTGTCCACAGAAGGTTAAGGGGGTTTCAGAGGCCAGTCTCCTTGCTCTCCTTCTCCAGCACTTAAGAGGAAGGAGACTAGGGTCATGCGTGTGCAGAATTGCCTTATC